AAGCTCTAAATGGTTGAACAATAATGTGCATTTGATTGCCTTGAGCTTTGTATGCAATTAAGAAAAAGGGTTAGAATTAGAATTAAGTCATGTGTATGAAGACCATCAAAAGGAAAGTATTGTTTAATTTGGTCCCTGAATTAGTCTCAAAAATGTCTACATGGACATTTGGATTGAAGTTACCTCCAAATAGACCAACCTGGATTGGAGTTACCTCCAAACAGAACTGTTTGGAACAAAAGCCTCAAATATAGAAAGAGCTGTAAGAATCTGGTTTATGGGCCACTCCACAGCTTTTAAGACCCTCCTGACTTGTCATGTCTCTTGGGACGAATTTCTCCCTCTTACTTGGCCAAACTTTGATCCTAGAATAAGGAAAGAGAATAAAGTACTACTAGTAGCAGTAACGGATGTTTCTTGAGCACTGATTATGGGCTGGGCGCTGTGCTTTTCATACATTCTCATCTCTACCAATACAACATTCTACACAGGGGCTCTGTTTTGCTGAGGAGGAAACGGATACTTAGAGAGGTTAGTTAACTTGCGCAAGGTCACACAGCTAGCAAATGGCTGAGGTAGAATTAGAAATGAGACATGTTTGACTCCAGAGCCTGTGCTTTTAATTGGACATACACAAAAAGGCCAAGTTTATTACTAGTACTCCCAGCTTTCTCTTTCTTTATTCCTTCCTTCACTCAGTTCCTTAATGCAATGAGAAAAGGGCTGTGTGCTTTTTCCATTTCATGACACACAATGCCAGTATCTTCTCTTTTTTCTATCAATACTTAACATTGAGAAAGGACATCCTGTTTCACTTTAACCTGACTCCATGCTTCTGGTTTTCTCCTCTAGGCAAAGGTATTTATTTTATAAGTTGTAGGTCTAAGTCTCATTTTCTAAGACTTAGCTATTCACCACATCAAAGGCAGTACAATGTAGTAAGTAAACAAACACTCATGGCATTGAAGACCCACTCAGGTTCAAGTTCTAGCTCTGCCATTCAGTAGCTCTGTGACTTGCATAAAAAATTACTAATAAATAGAAACCTCAGTTCAATAGAGTCTGGAGACCAGCAGGGGTAGTGCTCACACCCCATGACGACAGCAGAGCCCAACAGGAAGAAGGAAGCCTCCTCTTTTTTCCTGGCAAGGACTTAGCTAAAGAAAAGCCATGGACTCTGTTTACTACAGCCCTCCCAACTTCCTTTTCCCTCTATAAAAGGGTTCTCCTTCCCTTGCCATGTGGGGACTTGCACAGGGCTCACCATGGTTATAGACCCCAAACTGCAGGTCTCTGCTCATCCCGAATACGCACATCTTTGCTGGGGAGAAATATCCGGCAGTCCATTTATTTTGGTCAACACTTGAGTAAGTTATTTGACCTCTATAAGCTGGAAAATGGGGATGATAAGCTACCTCCAGGATTATTCATTCAATCTACAGACATTTATGGAGCGCTGTGCCGGATCCTGGAGATACAGGGCTGTGAGGTTTAAATAAAGTAATATATGTGTGGTGCTTGGTACAGGACCAGCAGATAGTAAAGGCTCAATGATAAAGTGTAGTTATAAATGGTAGAACAAAAGACAATTTCTCTAATAGCCATCACTGGACAGGAGACAGGGGAGTGAGGTGTTTTCTGAATAGAGCTCTTGGAATGATCTTGTATAATTGAGCCCTTCCTTCCCCTGGCTGAGGCCAGTCCCCGTAATTTTAGATAATAGCCATAGCCATCATTTTTTTAACACTTAACATTCACTTTACATGTATTAACTCATGTACTCCTCACAACAACTCCCTGAAGTAGGTTTTATTATATCATTTTATAGAGGAGAAAATGTAGGCCCAGAGAGATTAAGAAACTTGCCTGAGATCCCACAGCTAATGATCCGGGCTGGGACCTGAACCAGCTAGTTTGATTCCAAAGCCCATGATCTCCCCACCTCTCTAAACTCACCACCCTGGATTCGCCTCTGATTTCTGCAACTCGTGTCTAGGTAGCCAGCCCTGAGCAGCTTCAGAGAGAGACGCCCTCAGACATGGGACAGTTAGGAAGGCTGTGGTGTTCTGGGGAGACGTATTCGGAGACCCTGTGTTCCCGGGCTCTCCTCAGGGGTGTTTCACTGATCCCCGTCCACTTTACATCTTTTCCTGCTGTGTCTCTATGACATCACTTAAGACCAAACCAGCTCACCCTGAAAAGCAGCTCTGTGGAGCCCGGGAGCGGAGGCATTGGCTGCTGTGGCCCGGGTGGGAGGCGGGGCTACGGCTCTTGCTGCCAAAGGCTCAGGCTGCTCTTTCAGCACAGCCTCTGCTCCTTTGTGGTCTTGCTTCTGGGTTTGACCTCCTGAGGCCTGAGTGATGCCAGGCCCACCTGCTTTGCCCCTAGTCTGCTCACTGCCTGAGGTTTGCTATAGTACCCGCTGCAGGAGCCACACTCAGACTCAGTGCACATGACCTGCACGGTGCTCAGAAGAGCTCTGTGCTCGGTTTAACGCCCTGCCGTCTCCATCTTGAAATTCTTCATAATTTTTGAACAGGGGGGTCTGCACTTTCATTTTGCACCAAGCCTCACAAACTATGTAGGTGGTCTTGTTCAGACCCTACTAAGGCCTCAGGGCGCAGGCAGTCTCCCCAGCACGTGAATCTAAAGGAGATCACAGGGGTGTTCGGAAGAGACTTCAAGCAGGCAGGAGTCCTAATTTCAGGTTTGTGTTCACAAGGTCAAAGAAGGCTTGTGGACCACCAGAAGCTGGAGAATGAATTCAAACATTCCTTTGGATGATGTGAATTTAGCAGGTTACCATCAGTTTTCCCAGTTACTCCCATAAATAAACATAATGCCCACTGTACATGCAGTTTCTTACTGGTAGAATGTTGGAGGTGAGGGTCAAGCCCAATTAAGCAGAGAAGCAAACTTGGTCTCTGCAACTTAAGATCTTTCCTACTTGCCTGCCACAGCCTGAAATCCCTTTCTTAATAAATCCTTCCTTCAGATCCTGCCAGTAAACCAGAACCCCGCTCAAGTGCAAATGTTTCTACCTCCTCAGAACTTGCTGCCTCAATTAGCAGCCCTGCCCACATACTCCCCCATCACTCCAGATTGCCAGCTCCCCTTTCCTATAGCCCTTTCCTCTTAGTCTTCAGATAGAGGCCTCACAGTCCTGCGGCTCAGGCAAACCGCCTTCCAAATTCTCTCCTTTCTCTCGGCCTAGCTCAGATACCGCCAGCTCTTCACCTTTGGTCCTTTCCCTCCTCATCTCCTGCTCTCTGGCTTCCACCCTCTCAACCATTAAAACTGCCATCTCAAACATCACCCATCAAGGTTCAGAGTTTCATCAGCTTTGATCCTCTAGAAACAGGGCCACATTATGAATTCTGGCAGCCTGAAGCCTTCAGGAGCCCTTCCTCCATTAAAAAATATTAAAAATTATCTTCAAAGACTGTGTTATTATAAAAATAAGTATAATCCAGTCTGGATTGTATTTATTTAAAAATTCTTTTTTTTTTTTTCGGCGGTACACGGGCCTCTCACTGTTGTGGCCTCTCCTGTTGCAGAGCACAGGCTCCGGATGCGCAGGCTCAGCGGCCATGGCTCACGGGCCCAGCCGCTCCGCGGCATGTGGGATCTTCCCAGACGGGGGCACGAACCCGTGTCCCCTGCATCAGCAGGCGGACTCTCAACCACTGCGCCACCAGGGAAGCCCCTAAAATTCTTATTTTAAAATATATTAAAACATTTTCATGGGTCCCTGAAGTCTCATAGGCTCTGGGCACTGTGCCTTTAGAATTTAATGGAGAAATTAGTCCTTCTTTGAAGGCCTGGGTAAAGTTGAGGAGAAAGTCTTCATGAGTCTTTTATTTCTGGGAAGCCATATTACTTTTTGCTTTTATTGTTCCTTTTATTGGGAAAACAACATAGTTATAAAGAAAATTTTGAGGAAACAACCAACTCATAATCTCATAGTCTAACACAACCCTTCATTTGTAATTCACTTCCTTATCCAGATGGAAAGCTATTTTACACAGCTGACTGTTGTGTTTATGCAGTTCTGTATTCTGCTTATTCCATTTCATATTATTTTATTGGAAACATTTTCCATGTTTCTACAATAGTCTTCCTAACCATCAATTTGACTTATGGTGATTGACTTACTTTTTCTCTCTGTTGGTTTCCCAATCTTTTCAGACTAGGATTTCTTTGTCTGTTTTATTGCTTCCTTTTTGTCCTTTCATGGATTTACTCTGGGCCACCTGATTATTCTGTATATCCTCCCCTGCCTCCCTCCGCCCCAGGTTGTCTGATTCATGGCTTCGACTATGGGCTTTATTGGGCTGAGGAGAACGGGCTTTGCAGGTGGTTCTTCCCAGTGGCAATTAGTGTTCAATGATCTGTGTACATGACCTGCTCAAGCCCTTTCACACTGCATGGTTTGTGTTTGAGAGCCAGCCAGGCCATGGGGCATGGTCTTGTTAAATTCTACACTTTAGTAAAGGGATCAGAGTGTCAGAGCCTGAAGGTAATTCAGAGATGATTTTGTCCAACTTCATTATTTTACAGATAAGGAAACTGAGGTTCAAAGAGGTTAACAGACTTGATCACGGTTCTGGAACCAGGAAGCAGGGATTTGAAACTTCATTCCTTGACCTCAAAGTTTCATGCTCTTTCTTCAATAGCATCCATTCTAAATTTGTTGTAGAGGAACTTTATTTTACACTGCTGTACCATTAGAATGAGAATTTACATTGTGGAATTAAATTTACAATAATTTTGTTGCCAAATTTATCTGAATATTGTCTAATGGGAAGAAAAAAGAAAAACTTCATAATTTTCAGTTAGGTCCATATTCTGAAATTATCTGGACTATTACAGGAGAAATGTTTAAGTGATTCATGTTCTGTTGAATGGTAACTTCACCTGTTTTGTTACTGTTCACTTGTCTCTAAGGTCTGTTGATTCACTTATTACTACCATCCAACAGTCACATCAACTGAGCTTACCTGTTCAGAGATAAAGAGCAGATCAATCTTTGTCCCAAAATAGCCAGGGCAACATTGGTACTAGCAACCTGCAGAGAGCAAAAGCGTACATTAGTAAGATGAGTGAATTTATCCATTTTGGCCATAAATATCATCACCTATAGTAGAAACATAAACTTCACTTTCACTCTCATCTCAAAAAAGATTGGAAAGAAATAGCTCTAAAAATATTGTCTTGCAGGTAGGGAAACTAACTATAAAGACTTTTTGTTTGAAGATCTCCTTTAAATTATTTTTCCTTTTCTTCTAATCTCTCTTTTGCATGTGTGGGGGGCAGTGGGGGGAGAGAGAGGGAGAGAGAGAGATGTCTCACTTAGGTTCATTGTTCAGTCATTTTCTCTCAGATTGCATTTGGCCTTCATCTACTCAAACAAACTTGAATTCCACCTTGACTGACTTATTTCAAGAAAAAAAGAAATTTGGTTATCAATGTAACTGAAGCAGAGGGAAGGGCACACAGGATGTGGAGAAGCGGGGAGAGCTATTTTACAACGTTTGCGGGTATGAGCACTGGCCTCCCATACCTACCCCCACCCCAGTCTCAACCCTGTCCTCTCTCCTAATCGATGGATCACATCCCATCCCTCCAAACATTTAGTAGACCCTGCTGGTCAGTGGTCTACTGCAGGAACAGGACTGGTATCCTTAGGCTGCCCTCCTGTCCCCACAGACTTACAAAGTCCATGGAAACGATGGTTTCCGCAGTCGAGTTCTTGGACTGGGTGAGTATCACGAAGGAGGCAGGGATGTCTAGGGTGAAGTTACCCGGTAATAAATTGACCACGGGAGGCTCTCTTGCCAAGACCTGTACCATGAAGGGCTGGGACAAGATGTACAGCTCTGCAATCTGCCCACATTCAGGGAAAGAAACAGAGATTGGGAGTCGTGAGTTGAAGAGGGGAAATCACAAATTTGGGGTGGCCTGTGGTGGTGATTAAATCTTACATCATACAGTTAGAACAGAAAAAAGCTCTTTAATAATTATACCGATAACAACAAGATAATAATAATAACAGCTGGCATTTATTGAACACATACTGTGTGTCAGGCACCATGTCAGGACTTTCAGTATTATTGCATCTAAGCTCCACAAAATCCCTCTGAGGCAGGTTCTATCGGAATTCCCATTTCACAACTAAAGAAAGTGAGTCTCAGAGAGGTTAAGTAATTTTCTCAAGATTCCAGATGAGTAAGTTATAGAACTGGGATTCAAATCTAGGTCTGTCTGACTCAAGATCCTTGCTCTAAACCCAGGATGCTACACAAGCATCTCTCTGTCCTCCAGGGCAAACCTGAGCCTTTCAATATACTATGTCCAATACTCAGATCCCATCACAGCATGATATTAATAGTTGTTTTACTAAAGTCACAATGTGGCACTATTCCTTCCTTTCCCATTTAAGCTAATTATTTAAAGTGTGGTGGAACCTTATGGAAGGAACAAATGATTTATTCTGTGTACAATGTCTTTCCTAGTAACTTGTACTGTTCAGTTAATATTTGTGGATATCTGATTAAAAGAAAAACTCTTAAGAATGGAAATATGGATGCAAGCTTGGACCAGAAAGGAACATAAAGAAACAAAATGTCTTCCGGAAGTAATTGCAGTGAAACCAAATACACCATTAAGGAGTCAAACCCTGAGCACTCACCCGGGGCAGCATGTTGCCAAGGCCTTGAGAGTTGCGAATCAAATGGTTGAAAATCTGGGAAATGAAGACCATCATGTCACTGTGAGGTTTTTACCTGGGTTGTATTTTCAGGGAAAATGCAGCATTCCCTATAATTTTTATGAATCATGAAACTGTTGCACCAAAAATGCCTAGTGTTTGAAGGTGACTGATTATTTTATAGCCCAACCACAGGAAATCTGAGGCCCAGAGAAGTAAAGTGACTTGTCCTAGGTCACACAGGAAGTTACATTGCTTTTGAGTAAGGGCCTTTTAACCTTAGGAACACAGTGTATATCATATGGCTACGATCCATATGTAAACATTTTACAGTGGTTAACAATGTCTTGTGTTATTGTCCTCTTTTTCAGAGGTTACTGAGACATACGATGCATAAGTAATTTATCTTCATAGATGAATGGTTTTCAAGTCTGAAGCTAGAAGTGTCTAATTCTCAGTACTGTATGGCAGCTGGTGTTGCCGCCAGCATTTTGAACACAAGATTTACAATTATGTGTATAATTAAGGCCTAGAGAATGAAAAGATACATAAGGGATGCTCAATAAAAGTTGTTAGTTGACTGGTTGGAGAGAGAGTTCTCATTATAAAAGGGAGGGGCATGACAAAGAGGATCAATGAATATCTATGCTATTTACTGGTCATCGTAGATGTCAGTTGTAATTACTAACAGGAGAAATCTTTATGTTGGCATAACACAAATAATAAAATAATGATGATGATGATGATGATAATCAACACTTATAGAGCATGTAGTCTCTGCTAGGCATTGGTCTGAATGCTTTATGTATATTTAAACCTCTTTAATGCCCATAACAACCCTATGAGTATGGAACATTATTATTCCCATTTTCCAAATGATGAAAATCTGACACAGAGAAGTTAAGTACATTGAAATTACCAAATTTTCATAGGTATTTGTCACAGGTAATAAGTAGTGGAGGGGCTTCTTGGTATTATTGAAGATCAGTCTAGAAGAACAGTGGCCCAGTATCATAAAAAGCTGAAATTAGCAGAACTGGAAACCCAACAACTCCTCAACTAGTATCAACATTCATTCCACAATCCCTTCATTCATTGTCCTGCTAGGAGTGATAGTGTCTACAAAGGCCCAGGAATAGAAACTATGACATAAAAACCCCCATAATGGGATACTTATAACAAGACTAAATGTTGGTGTCAATTGTCATCATCCATTAACTCTCCTAACCTTGTTTGTGGTGAGAGTGACGTTGAAAGCCCCAGCTGTAAAATAAGCATAGGACGCAGATTTAAAGAAATACTCGGAGATTCCAACGTAGATCATAGAGTCACTGTGTTCCGGGAGCACAAAAGGAACTGATGAGAAGGGGGGATCTGTGAGGTTTTCCAGGGGGTAGAATACGCCCTGTGGGGAAACAGAGAGAAAGACCAGTGTTATCAGGGGAAGACTCGAATGTGCAGGACTAAAGAAGGTGGACCCACTCAAGTCAGAATAAGGAATATTCCAGAAACTCAGTAGGGTTGAAAAAACCACGAGTCCTCTGACTCCTTGACTGGGGACTATGTTTCAGAGCTCTGATGACTTCTTGAGCATATCTGAGAGTGTCTGTCCACCCTGGGGTGTAATCCAGTGAGAAGTTCCTTGTTAGTCCTCTTCTCAGAGACGGGAAGGCAGGTGAATGTAGCTGGAGGGGACAGCTCTGAATAGTTCCCGAAGTGTCATGTAGAGATGTCAAACTTTTGACCTTCAAAATCCATAACTTCTGAGCATCTGGGGCATCACAGAAAGACTCAGAAGGACCCAGGATTCTAAATGGCTCAAAGCATTTTTGTGGCATTTTTACTGCTGCCTTCATAAGGTATAGGCTGTTATTACAAAATGGTGTCTTGCGTAATATTTAACTGAGTTGAATGACTCTGATTGAAACATAAGCCAACATACATTAAAAAAAAAAAAACCAGTGGGGGCTTCCCTGGTGGCACAGTGGTTGAGAGTCCGCCTGCCGATGCAGGGGACATGGGTTCGTGCCCCGGTCTGGGAAGATCCCACATGCCGCAGAGCGGTTGGGCCCATGATCTATGGCCGCTGAGCCTGCGCGTCCGGAGCCTGTGCTCCGCAACGGGAGAGGCCACAACAGTGAAAGGCCTGCGTACTGAAAAAAAAAAAAGAGAGAGAAAAAAAAGAAAGAAGAATTCGTCTGCCAATGCAGGAGACACGGGTTCGAGCCCTGGTACGGGAAGATCCCACATGCCACGGAGCAACTAAGCCTGCACGTCACAACTACGGAGCCTGTGCTCTAGAGCCTTTGAGCCACAACTACTAAGCCCACTTGCCACAGCTACTGAATCCCGCGTGCCTAGAGCCCATACTCCGCAACAAGAGAAGCCACCACAATGAGAAGCCCGTGCACCACAATGAAGAGTAGCCCCCCCACAAAAAATAAATAAATTTAAAAATATTAAAAATAAATTATATTTACTTTGGGACAAAAGCACAGTTAATCACTTTTCCAGAATCAGCAAACACTATTTTTTTTTTTTTTTTTTTTTTTTGTGGTACGCGGGCCTCTCACTGTTGTGGCCTCTCCCGTTGCAGAGCACAGGCTCCGGACACGCAGGCTCAGTGGCCATGGCTCACGGGCCCAGCCGCTCCACGGCATGTGGGATCTTCCCGGACCGGGGCACGAACCTGTGTCCCATGCATCAGCAGGGGGACTCTCAACGACTGCGCCACCAGGGAAACCCGGCAAACACTATTATCATGTGTTAATGGCCCTGACAGAGTTCAGCAGCCCTCAGTTAGATCAACTAACCTGAGAGCTAGGAATAGAACTATCAATATTTATAGTCTACTGATCTGTTGAGCCCTAATAAATGCAGACTATTCTACTTGCTGCCCCTTAGTCTGCAGCCTTACTCCCAGAGGCAGAGACACCATGATACTTTTCTTGAAGAAGGCAGACATATGCTGTGCAATCCAAACAATCATTTACCAGTCAAGAAGATGTTCAAGAGTCTCTTAAAGGAGCATAAACATGAGAGAACTGCTTGAAAGAAAATTAAACTATTGGAAGAGAATGTAGTTATATTTCCCTCTGCACATAATATTTGTTCCTTGAATAGTGGCTATTGATAGCCAAGCTTAGGACTCTGATGATGATAAAATTACCTTCAAATTCAGATCAACGTAATTCTCAGTAATTTCTGGAGAACTGATTAGGGAATAATCCAGCAGAGTATAGTTGTCAATCTTTCTTAAAACTAAATAACAAAGAAAAAAGAAAATTTACATTTATTAAAGGTATAGTATAACACATGGTTAATATTTATCCAGAACAAGTTTTTAATCCTCTGTTATTTAAAACAAAAATTAACCATTACCCTATTTCATAAATAATAGTTGCTCACTTTTCAAAACCCAGGAAAAGTAGATAAATCAAAAGAAGAAAGTAAAAACTCTTCTTTATCACATTGCCCTGAGAGAACCATCAGTAAAATTTTGGTACATAGCCTTTTATGCATGCTCCCAGAAGTAAAGAAATGTGCCCACAGCAACATAGGACATGGCAATCCTCCACTGGTTCTTTCCTCATCTTTTCTACATTTTCTTTCTCTTCCCCTCCCTCTCCAATCTGTTCTTTTTTATTCATCTATCTGCATCCACTCATCAATCCATCTGTCCAGCCACCATCTCCTTTCATCCCTTTATCAAGCTAATATTTATGAACCTAGTGTGAGTTAGGCACTGTGCTCAGTGTTGAGAATACAGAGAAGAGTCAACGTCCCTGCCCTCAATGAACTCACAGTCTGGAGGAGGAGACAGACATATAAACAGGAAATTATAATACAGCGTAATAAGAGCAGATCTGTAACTGAGCTCCAGAGGGCCTACTACAAACATAGTCTTATAGTCTTCCCCATCTTGGTATCGGTAATTCCACTCTTCCAATTTTCTAGTTGCTCAGAGTAAACCCTGGCCTCATGCCTGACTCCCCTCATGACCCACATTCAATGTGTCAGCAAATACCACTGTCCCTACCCTCCAGGTACATCCGAAACCTGAACATATCTCACCATCTTTGTCACTCCATCCAGGTCACTGCCTTCCTAGCTCGTTTGGGTCACTGCACTAGCCTCTTTAGTGGTCTCCCTGCTTCCACCCCTGAATCCTGTCCTATTATTAATAGACAGAAACCAGAGTGATCTCCTTAAAATACAAGTCAGTTCATGAAAGCTGTGCTCAGAACTCTCTCAAGACTTCCCATCTCAGACTAAGAGCCAGGCTTTGTAATGACCTACAGAGCCCTGAAGATCTACCCATCTGCTTTCCCACTCTCTGACCTCATCTCCTGCTGCTTTCCCCTCGTACCCTCTGCTCTCGGTATGGACTCCTCAAAATTCCTCCAACGCACTCGGCATGCTCCCACATGGGCCTTTGAGCCTGCAGTTTCCTCTGCCTGGAATGTTCTTCATCCAGATCTAGGAGCGGCTTACTCCCTCCTTCATTCAGGTCTTTACTCTAATGCCAGCTGCTCAGTGGTGCCTTTCCTGGCCATGCTATTTTAAACAAAAACCCCTCGTCAGCTCCTTCCCTGCTTTATTTTTCTTCTTACCACTTATCGCAACGATACCATAGATTTTACTTATTATCTTGCTGGCTGGCTGTCTCCTCTCACTAGCCCCATGAGGGCAGGGATTTCTGTCTCACAGGCTTACTGCTGCATTCCCCGCACCAAGAACAGCACCCAGCCTATTACAGGGGCTCAGCATACCATGGCAGGGGTGGGGGGGGGCGGTAAGTGGATGGAGTGCAAAGAGACATCCACCGTAAGTGTCATGTGAGCGTTGAGGAGGCGGGACTTTGGGGTGTGGCCTGTCAGGTAGGCTTTCTTGGGAGACTATGCCTGAGCTGAGCCTTCAGAGCTAAAGAGGAGTGAACAGGACAAGGGATGGCTGCGGGGTAGGGAGCAGAAGGGGCTGCATCCCTCGGGGCTTAGCCCAGTGCTGGCAAAGAAATAGGTGCCCTGTACATATCTCTTAAGTGGATAGACAGATGGAGGGGAGGAAGAGAAAGCTCTTCTAGGCAGAGAGGGCAGCTGACTGGAGGCAAGGTGTGAGGCGGTAGGAGCAGTTTGATTGCTGGAGCAGGTGAGGGTGCGCGATGAAGCCCAGAGAGGTGAGAGGGAGCCAGAGCACAGCCGGTGGGTCTTGTAGTCCACGTTAAGGTACTTGGACTTGATCCTGAAGGCAGCTATAGGAGCCACTGAAGGGGTTAGAACCAGGGATAACTGGTCAGGATGAGCATTCATCATTCTGAAGAGGATGGATTTAGCGCCAGAGCTGGGATTCAGGCTCACGACAGTTTAATTCTTTGCCTTTGCATCTAGTTTCCTGAAGTCACCCCCACCTGCAGTGAAGCTGCTTAGCAGCAGAAAAGAGCGGGCCCTGCACACGGGCAGGTCCTCCCATGCACCTTCCTGCGGTGCTAGTTTGCAGAGGGGAAAGCAGATGGGAGAGCTGGAGCAAAGCACACCTGGAGAGCACCTGCGTGTGAAGGTGGGAGGAGAAACACCCAGAAGAGACAGTTCTGGGACTCACCCTCCAGCATGCTGAGGTTGGCATTCAGTGCCTCCACCTCACTTGTGATAATGGGACAGAGCTGGCCATAAAAGGAATAAAAAAGAGATGCAGGTTATCACATTGTACTGGAAACCACTGTTTAAGGGCCTAGACCCCAACAAAGCCCTTCCAGTCAGGAGACAGTCTCCCTTTGGACTCTCCCTTAAATTAGTTGATGCCTATGGGCCTCAGGTTCTGTATGTATGGGTGGCATGCCATTGAATGCTGGCTCAACTTCATAGCAACCGGGACCACACCCACTCAGCCCCATAAAAGAACAAGCCCTTGGCTTTCATCTCTGCAGCATGACAGGGCATGTGCCCCAGTCCATGTTAGTGCTAACGACACCTGGGGAACCTGCTACTTGCACGGCTGAGCCTCTCCCGACTGCAGGGATGCCCCTGCCTGCCACCTCTGCCGTCAGCATGCCAGGCCCTGCCAGGGAGAGTTAGAGCAGGGCCTTTATTTCCTTGCTGGGCTGCTTGGAGAGCCCATTAGATCAGACATCTGTTTAGATCAGAGCCCCTTTTGGAATTAGAAAATCAATTTTGAATCAGACCCAAGCAAATCTGTAGGAAGCAGGAAGAGTATCAAGATCGACGCCATGTGCCAGGAGTGTGCTGAGCACTCAGTGTGGTAGTTACTAGCAGAGGCTCAGGAGCCTGGCTGCCTGGGGTTGAACGCCTTGGCAAGTTACTTGTACTCTCTGGCCTCAGTTTCCTCATCTGCAATGTGGGGATGATAGCTGTATCTACTGTGTCAGGTTATTGTGAGTAGAAATTGAGGCAATCCATGTGAGATTGCCCAGCTCATAGTAAGCATTCAGTAGATGTTAGCTGTTGCCAACCTCATTTCATCCTCACTACAGTCCTGAGAGGCAGGCACTACTGGCCCCTATTTACAGATGGAAAACAGAAGCTTGGAGAGGGTAAGCGAGTTGCCAGGAGTTAGATCAGTAGGATTTGAAATCTGGCCTGACATGGCTAGACAGCTGTGGTCTGAGCACCCTTGGCCTTTTCTAGTGGCACAGAGGGAACCCTAGAAGCAAAGCATCTATGATCTCTAAGTCATACACAAGCTCCAGGCAAACTTAACTATTGGCTTCTTGTGGGAGGCCAAAGGACCATGCCTCGTTTTGAATGGAGGAATGATCAAGTGTGGGGTCCCTGAAGACAACGGCACTGTTGCCCAGGCACTCTTCAATATGCACATTCACTGGCACTCAGCACCTTTCAGGTAAGGACGGGAAAGGCTGCGAAGCTTCAGTGTCCCCTGACCAGCCGGACAACCTTGTTAGACAAGCTGCTTAATGTCTCTGTGTGTTGATTTCCTCACTGACATTCATTATGCACCTACTGCCTTCCAAGTGCTGAACTGAACACAAGGGGTTGGAGACAGCCAGACACCGTCCTTGCCCCTCTTTTCCAGAAAGGAATCTCCCTTCTTTTCCCGTCCTCCTCACCTCTCTCCTTGTCTCCCCAGAAATGTGGGTAAAGCATTCAGGGAAGGTATTGTCAGGAATGGAAACAGGGCACATTGCCAATTCCATCTTTCCCTTCCTCGGACACTGACTTCTGGCATCAAGGTACTTGGATGCCATCGTAACTTATACTGTTTCACTTGGCTGGGAATATTCTTTCTTCTTTCCCGTTCCTTACTTATTCAATTCCTACCTATATTTGAAGGCTCAGTTCAAGTCCTGCATTCTCCAAAAATATCTCCCAGGATACTCCTAGGCTCTATTTACTTAATTTTTCCAGTTCTCTGAACCCCCTCAGTCCAACCTAGTGACCATGTAAGTATGTACGAAATTCAAATACTTATTCACTTGCCGTTTCACAACTCTGAGTTGGTTTTTCCTAAATAGATAAGTTTATTCCTTTTCCATATCCTCAACAGACTCTAGTCTAGAGTGCTGGGCATGTAGCAGGTACACAATAAACGAACTCTTTTTGATTGTTTGCCCACCCTGGGGCAAGGACTCGAGGGAGGGAATGCTGTATTATTTATCTCTGCATCCCTATCACCTACCATTATGTTTGGCACATAGTAGGCACTTGAGAAACTATTAAGTTGCAAAGGATAATGTGTGTGAAAGTGCCTTGGATGGTGCTTAGCACACGGTAGGTGCTCAGGAAAGTTTTATTGACTGAAAGTTAATCAAAGCACGGCAGAACTGCTGCTGATGGCAGGTTGCTATGGCTGTATAACCTCTAAAGACTTACCATTTTATTTAAGTTCTTTAAAATGGGTTTCTCCATGGGCTCAGCAAAGAAGTTATATAGGACACTAGGAAAAAAAAGATTACAAAAGGGCTTACACAGGATCATATCTGCCAGTTCATAACTGCCCCTAGGTGCCACGTGAGAACCCAGCTCCAGACTGTCCACTGCCCACCAGGGTGCTCACCTGAGCTCTCCAGAAAACGAGATGTCATTGTGGCTCACTTGGGCATTGCAGTCTTGGAGCTTCAGGATTGGGTGACCAAAGTCATTCCGGGCCAGGACAACTATACCGGTGAAGTAAACCCCAGAGAGAAACAGCTTAGCTCCTCCTGTGTCTTGGCTGTTGAGAGAAGTGCAAGGTTACCCAAGCCTGGGCAGGGGTGGAGATGGATCTTGTTTCTCTGATCAACCATAGAATCTAAGCCCCAGGAGGGCAGGAACTTCATCACCTCTGGATTCCTGGCACCTACAACAGGTAGGGGTGAATATTTACTGAACAAATGAAGTAACAAATATGTGAATGGTGACAGCTCTAGGAACCTTGCATTTATTTCATCTTGAGTGCGCTGGCAACCCATAGTGGTTGAGCATGTATTAGGCACCATTCATATACGATGCTTGTTTGGAGGAAGAACATACGGGTCAAGGTGGCCACACCTTATTTAGGAAGGGTATAGACGGGGAGGTGACACTTAGATGTCGTCTGTGAACTCCTTGAGGGAGTGGTGCTATTCATCTCCATGCCCCAGGATTTAGCTCATGGCCTGACACAGAATAAGCACTCAATCTATGGTTGATGAGTCAGCAAAGAAATGAATAATACATGAATCTATGTTTCTTATGGGGGAACATATTATATCCCTACCGTCTAAGAGACTGGAGTTCTTGAGACAGGGATGAATGATACTCAGTACCATTTATAAATGGATACAGTCAGTAGGTACTCAATAAATGGATATTGAATGACCAAATGGATGAATGAATGTGTCATCCTGGGGCATCAACCAAGGCAGACCTAAACATTACACCCACACAGTGACTTATACATAGTAGGTGGTTTGTAACCGTACCATGAATTTGATCCTTTCTTTTTATCTTCTTTTCTGGCTGCAGCCCACGGCATGTGGGATCTTAGTCCTCTGACCAGAGATCAAACCTGTGCCCCCTGCAGTGGAAGCGGGGAGTCTTAACCGCTGGACTGCTACGGAAGTCCCAGGAAATCTTTTTTTTTTTTTTTTTTTTT